CCAATTGAAACAAGTGCTTGTCTCTCTGCTCTTGGACATGCTGAAATCCGGCTGCACTTTGGGATTCATTAAACACACTCCATGCACACCAGGGTCCACATGTGGGACTAAACCAGATATGCTGAGGCCGTTCTTCAAGGATAGTCTGAAACAGCCTTCTTCGACTGTCTTTGAGAGATAAATCCCCTTCTTGAATCCCATGGCGGCTGGCTCGATATCCTAGTTTGTTGACTTGTCGGGTCAACTCACTGTCGGCGCTGCAGAAAACTTCAAGCACTTGGAGTTTTGGCCGTTGTCGGAGACCTTCCCAGTTTGACACTTCCTGCAACTCTTTAGTGAACTGGTGCACCAACTCTTGAAACTTTTTGTGACGTGAGTTCATGTGATGTGTTTGATGGTGATCATGATCAAAGTCTTTACCCCAGTCTCCGGCATTCAGGATGTGATCTACGGGGCTGGCTGATTGGCTTGGCGCACATGATTCAGGATCTCCCCCATCACGTTCTCCATGTTTAGCACCCGGCTTTGCAGAGCATCGATCATCTCCTGTTGTGGGCCGTTCATGATGGCCGCTTGAGTCATGGTGTCCATGACATCCCATGGATCGTCCATCTCTGTCATGACCTCTGTCGCGGCAGTCATCATTGCTGGCATCGGGGCCGCTTTGCTCTTGGGCTGGACTTTTGGACATGGACGGATCACTTCTTGTGCACCTTCCTGGAGTGGCGCCATCTCGTAGATCTCCTCGTGCTGTGCTACCATGGCCTCCACATAGGCTAACATCTTTCGATGTTCGTCCTTCTGACTGTCTCCGTACGTCTTGGAGAACCAGCGAATCCACCCCTTTTCGTCTTTCCACATCTCGGCATAGGTCTTCCCGATGTGGGACTTTCCAAACGTCACTTTGTGCCCACCCATCTCTTCGAGGCTCAGTTGGCGGAAGGTTTCCACACTGTCCGTGCTTCCCTGAGCCAACACTCGATCTAAGCGGCTGGACAGGCTGGTGGCCATGGTTCTGAGTGGACCGAACAGCTTGGATGAACTTGGGCGACAATGGTTTGGGCCGAGGTGTCTCAGCATTCACTTCATTCACGTCACCTGTGGCACTTCGACATGTTTGGTGAACTGTGGCATGTTGACTGGATTTTGCAGGGGCACTGAAATTACAACGTGATACTTCATGTGGCATGTTCATGTAAGTTGTACTGGACTCATGATTAAGCATGTCTGGCATGTTGGCATTGATGTCACTGGTGGCATTTCGGACGGTGGAAGCTTCTGAGCTGGCTTCTGGCTTTTGACTCATGGAAAAATCACTGCTCAGAAAAGTTTCGGCTGGCAAACGGTCTCTGACACTTGACTGTCCCCTCTGTGCGGTTATCATGTCATTTATGTCTAACATGTACAACCCTCTTGGACTGAGTTTCAATGGCACGGCTGCATCAAGGAGAGGACTGGTCAAGACCTGTCGATTGCTGTCTATGCTTGCCTTGAGAGTTCTCACTAACGTATTGGAAAGCAACAGTGGTGTCTCACCTGGTACAATGGCAACTTTGAGTCCAAGTCCTATTGAGTTCAAAGGGATTACCAATGCATGTGCGCTATCCAATGTTCCTTGGTTTCCAAAACGGAAGGTGATTTCACATTTGGTGCGGCTCAATTGACGTTGCACCTCCTTTGGAAAGCTCTCAATCAGGGCAAGCAAATGTCTACTTCCAATCACGGACTTTGTGGCACCAGTGTCTAAGATGCCTAGAGCGCCGTGAGCTGTGAAAAATGCCACCTCATCAGCGGCTGCATCAGAACAGGCTTGGCGGGACGGACATCAGTCCTGGGCATTGAGTGCTTCGTACTGCTGGTTTTACGGACTGTTACCCCATTAGCCCTTTTACGGATACGTTCCCAAACTTCATGGGAAACATCTTGAACAACATTAATTACTTGCAAACTCGGCACATCTAGTGAAGTCTCATGAACCACAGGCAGTTGGATAAACTCCATCGGCATAGCGTAGGGCTCACCATCGAGGGACACTGCTTCGGCTGTCATTGCGGCTGACGTGCTGGGTGTTCCACTGGAGGTTGCATTGCGCTGTCGATCAGGACATTCAGCTCTCCAGTGACCTTTCTTTCCACAATTCCTGCATGTACTTTCCATGATTCGTTGCTGAAGACTTTTCCGAGGACCACGACCAAATGATCGACCCTTGCCTTTGCTGGATCCGGCAAACTTGGATTTGCCTTTGCCACTTCCAATTGGCCAGAAACCACGGTTCTTGAAACGGTCTGAAAGTCTCTTGCGGGCCTCACTATATGAGGTGAAAGCTGAAGCTAAGTCCTCATCCGATTGCAGCGTGTCCGCTGCGGCAGATTCGTAATCAGCTATCAGCACGGCATCTTCATCTTCATCATGCAACAATTGATCAAAGAAGTCATCTTCGCCCATGTCATCAGCTACGAATGCATGACCTTCGGTCTCTTCACCAGTTACATCCTCACTCAAATGGACATGTTGATCGTAGATCTTTCCCTTGGCCTTTTTGGCTCCGATCATATCATTGAAAAACGACGTTCCTAACATCCTTACTGCCTGACTCACCTTTTCTACAGTGAGTGCACCAGTGGACGCTGATTCGCTTTCAAGGATGACCCTCTTTTTGTCCTCCGTACTCAGAAGTGAACCTCGTAGTACAATGTAAGCATGCACCTGATCTAAATCAATCTTTTTGGATTTGAGTTCCGACCAGACTACATCGCACCTTGCAAGAAATGAGTCATTTGATTCATCCTGTCGTTGAGTGCATCTGAACAGGGCCTTCTCGACGATCTCATAGGTTTTCTCTAGGTTCACCTTGCCCCACTGACCTCCCAAGGTGGTGATCAGGAGCTGGGTGCCATTTTTGTCACCTGTCATCAGTTTGGCACGGTTCAGTTGAAGTTTCTGGAAAGCACTACCTGACGTATTCAGAATCAATCTGGTGATCAACTCATTCATCTTGTTGGAGGGCCAGATTTCGCTGAGAAGCTCAACCTTTTGTGTGTACTGTTCTAGATCATCTTTGGAGGGATCGAAGCTAGGCACAAGCATTGCCATCTGTGTCGAGGTTGCAGTGTTCCCCTCGGTAGATTCTCCGTCATTCTGTGAAGACATTCCCACAACACCAAGATGTGTTTTGTAAATCCCCGGAGCGTTGTTTTGGTAGCTCCGCTACCAGTGTGAATTGACTTCACACTGGCAGCTGATGTTCCCCCACGACCTCGCACCTGCAGTCTTTTCCAAGCAGCCAGTGGAAGTCTCAAGGTGTTCGCCAAAATGGCGTCCAAGGCTATGAAGCCTAGCAACCTGAAATCCAAGTATGTCGGCCTCGACACACACAACGTAGCGACCGACCGCGGTCAATGGCTTCCAAGATGCTATAACCCTCACCTCCCACCAACAGGCGATCCAAGCCAAATGCAACTGTCATGGATGCAAGTTTGGAACGCTGACCGGTTTGGGAATCTAAGGAACCTGTAAGGGAAATGTAAATGGACAATGACAGGGATCATTGATAATTTCACAATATATATATATATATATATATATATATGTATGTATACACATTATTTACTTATTTTTTTATACGAGGTATGGGTCGAATTTCTGGTAAACCACTTTAGTAGGGAGTGCTCACTTGTGTCTGGAAAGTGCACCCAAGCAGTGTGCAGCGATAGGCCACTCCTGAAAGCGATACTGTACCTATACTTGTGCATAATGTCCACATCTAAACCTTTTTTTTGCGTACATGCAGGCGAAATTGGCGATACCCCAGCGAATCCTAGCGATACCTTAGCGATACGCAGTTCAAAATGGTTCAAAATGTAGCCTCAGACCAGAGATAGACCCTTTCCTCCTTTCCTTTCCTCCTTTCCCGTTCTGGAAGAAACTGCTTCCCCTTCCTTCCTGTTTCTTTCCTCTTTCTTTCCTCTTTCTTTCCTCTCGCTTTCTTCTTTCTTTCCTCTTTCTTTCCTCTTTCTTTCCTCCTTTTCTCTTTCATTACTCTTTCTTTCCTTGTCCTTTCCTCTTTTCTTCCTTTTCTACTCTCCCGTTACTTCGTTTTCCTTTTTTCCCTGTCACGTTTCTCTTCCCTTCTTCAAACAGATTTATTAGTTTACCTTTATAGCCACCAAAACCATGTATAGCGATAGCCCCCCCGGCAAAAAAGCTAAAGTCCGTGTTTCAAGCAAGGCAAAGATCACAAATTCTTGACGGCTGCGCACGCACATATGTATACCAATATATATACATATGGATGTATATATATTTATAATTATATTTATATATAGACATATATATATATTTACAGATACATATGCATATATTATATGTATATATGTATATATGTATATATGTATATGTTTATATATGTATATATGTATATATGTATATATGTATATATGTATATATGTATATATTTATATATGTATATATGTATATATGTATATATGTATATATGTATATATGTATATATGTATATATGTATATATGTATATGTGTATATATGTATATATGTATATATGTATATATGTATATATGTATATATGTATATATGTATATATGTATATATGTATATATGTATATATGTATATATGTATATATAATATTATATAATATTATATAATATTATACAATATAATATCAAATATATGATAGAATATAACATCATATAATGTGATATAGTGCAACATAATATAATGTGATATAGTCCAACATAATATAATGTAATAAAATACAATGTAATATATATATACACATAACATACAATGTTCTAACATAACATATAGTGTAATATGATTGAATAACATATAATATAATATACTAGACATATTTATATGTGCATAATATATAAATAAGTAAATAGACAACAAGAACTAAATAAACATAGATATATACATGTGCACGTATTTATCTACACATGTAAAAGACTCCTCGGCACTTCCAGCGTTTCCGCTTCATCACAGGCTGGACTCAGACATCTACCCAGTGGCACCTCAAGACCAGCTGGCTGCAGGTGGGCAAATAAAGCTGAAGAGAATTGCTACTGCTGGCTACAAGATTGGGACCCAAAGTGACGGTGACAATCATGATGATGATGATGATGATGAGGATGATGATGATGATCATCATCATCATCATGCTGATGCTGGTGATGCTGACAGCGGAGATGACGACGATGTTCATGCTCTTGATGCTCATGACGCTACTGTTGATGGTGGCGGTGATGATGCTATGATGCTGCTGCTGCTGATGATGATGATGATGATTTCAGAGTATCATTTCATACAGGAGAGCTGTTCCATTTGTTTTTAAATGTATGCATGTAGAGAAAATGACATGCCCAGGAATGCAAGTTGAGCAGCATCACGATTCGCCTTGCATCAGTGATTCATTTACCACAGATCGGTCAAAACACTGTATCGACATTCTGTTCAGATCAGCCTGACTCACAATGTCATTTTGTCCGAAAAGGACAATGCCACAGCAATCTTGTCATTTCGATGGGGAACATGATGATACACCAAGGGATTTTCGGGGTACTCTGTTTACAGACAAACCCATGTACGTTTTTTTTGTGTATCTGGGTGATATGCAGTGTCCATTGGCATGACGCGTGGAAATATTATATCGGTCCAAAAAATCAGAGTAAGATTAGCGCTGCGCAGATGGTTCTAGCTCGAAGTTGTGAAAACTGCGATAAATTATTGCAAACAATGGGAACACAACAAAATTATCACCTCCATTTCTGGATGGAATATACCATATATAGATCTGTATGTGCATGGGTATCCCATTTTGAATCACTACGCTGCCGATCTCCCAACCAACCAGGTGTTCAGGCAGCTGGAGCTCAATCACCTCCTGGTAGTGCCCTGCCACGGTATCACCGGAAGGTCCCCAGCAACCTTGAAGCAAGACTGCCATTGACTCAATTGCATGAGTCAATGCACCAAAAATAACCAACATGTGCAGGTATGAAATATGATAGTTGGATACCTTGCGGCATTACGTCCAACATTCGTCATGTCTTTGTAAACCGTTTGTATTCTTTTCCAGGAGGAGCAAGCGCCAAATGCATTCCCTGAAACTGCTTCGAAGGCCAGGATCGGTATTTCTTTCACCGTGGGTCCTAGATACTGTAGCCAAAGGTTGTCAGCAGTTCCTGTAGAGTCTAGAAGCTAAGATCATTCGGATATACATATATATATATTTATTTATTTATTTATTTATTTTTATACATTATATATATATATACACACTTACATATACATATATTTACATACATATATTTACATATTTACATATATTTACATATGTTTACATATGTTTACATATATTTACACAGATTTACATATATTTACATATATTTACATATATTTACATATATTTCCTTATATTTCCTTATATTTCCGTAGATTTCCTTATATTTCCTTATACCTCAATATTTACATATATTTACATGAATTTACATATATTCACATATACGTATACATACATATACATACATATACATACATATACACACATGTACATTCATATACATACATATACATACATATACATATATTTACATACATACACATACATATACATATACATACATACATATACATACATATACATACACTACATACATGTACATACATATACATATATGTATACATAATTATACATATATGTATACATACATGTATACATATATGTATACATATATGTATACAGATATATATACATATACATACATATATGCATACATACATACATACATACATACATACATACATACATACATACATACATACATACATACATACATACATACATACATACATACATACATACATACATACATACATACATACATACATACATACATACATACATACATACATACATACATACATACATACATACATACATACATACATACATACATACATACATACATACATACATACATACATACATACATACATACATACATACATACATACATACATACATACATACATACATACATATATACATATATACATATATACAAATATACAAATATACATGTATACATTTACACATATATACATATATACATATATACATATATACAAATATACATGTTTACATTTACACATATACACATAGTTACATAGTTACATATACATTAATTATATATATACATGCATACATGTATACATGTATCCATCCATACATACATACATTTATTTATTTATTCATTCATTCATGTATACATATAAACATATTTACATATATACATATATACATATATACATATATACATATACACATATATACATATATACATATGTATATATACATATATACATATATACACATACACATATACGTATATACATATATATATATATTCATATACATTGAGCCTTATAGTATACATATACATATGTATATATATATATATATATACATATTTATGTACGTAGATACAGGTACATATAAGCACATAGTATAGATACACATTTATATATACACACATTTTTATGTTTATATACATGCATACATTCACCATATAAACAATATTATATATATACGTATTAAATTGTATATACACATTGTATAAATATATATACATTATATGTTTACATTATATATAATACACATTATATACATTTATACGTTATATATATACTATACATATGTATGAGAAGATGTGTATGCAAACGCACACACATATATATATACACATGTATTTACGCATTTGGGCATAGACACACAACCCTCAACATATTTATATAATTATTTCTGCATACAAGTACATCACTGTTATACTAGTAGGGACCACTTTGACATCGAGAAACATGATACGTCTACATTACCTACCTTGTTGAGTTTACAAAACATCAAACCGATCATCAAGATCTCGAAGCAATCCAACGACCCTGCGACTATCTTTGGAATCTGTCAGCAGAATGACGGTGGCTCGAGCACTGCAATGTCTCTGTCTTGCCAGAGGCTGGACGGCAAGTCCTGCTGACATACTCTGTAAACCAGGAGAACAAGTTCATGCTTACTTTGCAGGCGAGATTGAGCAGAGTGACGTTTTCGGCTTGCGTGAGCCGTGCAACCCTTCCTTGCATGACTGCTGGTTTGATGCAAAGGTGAAGGACAGGGGTATCAATTTACAGCTAGCCTGATTCCAATATGGACGCTCTCTTTCTTCGACCTCCTTTGTGTAGATTATTTGAAAGCAAGATCTAAATACCGATCATAGCTGCCATATGTCATTCTGTTTGTGCATTCTACATTGCTACAGAATACAATGTGTTTTTTTCCACTTCTGCATGTCATTTACGTTCCTGTGTCGTTCCATAGGAGGGCCCAGATGCTCATGGAGTTTACACCATCCTCTGGGCCGACTCCGGTGTCGCATCATCCGCCGTACATGCTATGCACATGAGGCACACCAGTGGCCGTCAGTGTGGATGGGACCCCTGGGACACAACACGGGTGAAACCGCGAACGGTCCCAAGGCTCCCAAGCCTGCTGTTGCGCATGCACTGGGAAGCCTCGGATTTCAGATGGCGAAGCAATGCCCTGTCGGAGATCAAAAAGGAAGTCTTGCCAGATGAAGTGGTGTCTGACTTTGACTGGCATGTCATTTTACGATATGGGGATCAGATGGCCTGCGAAAAAGCACATGAAATCTTGCGGATAACATTGACATCCTGTCAGGATCCCAACAGTTGCTACAGACATCCATATGTCCGCGCCATCGAGTATGTGTCCTGCCATGAGCCTGCCAGCTAAGGCTGCCAGAACTCCAGCCAGATATTGCCAAGATTGCATCAAAGTGCTGCAAAGTCCGCCTCAGCTGCCTCAGCTTCACTCGAATTTTTGGGCCAATTTGCTGGGCGACGGACTGGTTTCAGGGGGCAAGAAAGGCCCGGTTGGACACTGGACGGAGACGGAAGAGATGGAGACCATCTTTGGGGCGCTGACGTCTTTCCAAGTCTGAGTGATTTTGCTTGCGTTGAATCCATTTTTCATCCGTGTTCATCAATTTCAATGATTTTGCAGAACCATGCTCTGCGCTGATCATGCAAAAGCAGCTGTTGGTCGATTTTCATGTGTATGCGAAATCAATGACGCAGCAAGAAAGACTCCATGTCATGGTGGGGTCAACAAGCTCGGAGACGTCCTCAATGACACCAGTATTTGTTGGTGGACCTTAGATCAATTTAGATCGCTGCCATTGACAACAAAGAGTCCATACTTAATTATACCATTTGTATCCATTTGTAGGTATATTCATCTCTTATGCAGGCAAATAATCGAGGGGGGCATCATGGGGCACCCTCAAACATGATACATTGTGTATGGGTCAGAATATTAAACGCAGCGGACGACAGGTTTGGTCAAGTTTTTAGTACTTGGATTGGACCCAATTTTGACCCAAACCCAAGTGGGTTTCAGGGGATACATTCGGAAAATGAAAAACATTGAACCGATAAGCCGTGATTGGGGTTGTCATGGGTTGTCATGGTTAATAATGGTTAATAATGGTTAATAATGGTTAATGATGGTTAATGATGGTTAATGATGGTCAATTAATGGTTAATTAATGATGGTTAATGATGGGTTGTCCCATTTTCAGACACAAATGGCAGGCTCCGGAGGTCTTGCGTGGACAGCAGCTGGAATGCCATGATTCGCCGCATGGCTGGCAGGACAGCTACGGCCAGTGGCGATAGGACTTGTCTGATAAAACGGGGTTCTGATATGTTCCCCAAAGTGGACTGATCTCCAGGTTAGGGTGAAATAGATATAAATAGTCCAGTTTGAAGTGGGAATTCAAAGCCCACATTGAAGATTCAACGCTCCTTCGTATGCTGGAGTTGGTGGCAATGGGCTGCGGGTGTCCGGAGGTCTACAGTGTTTTTAATCCTGTAGAGCCAGACCAAAAGCGACAGGACAGCAATGGCAATGACTGCTACCAGTACAAGAAAGGCTCCTTGGATTCCATTGCAATGGTAATTTCTTGATATTTCTTGAACTCTTCCTCGTTGCACCTTCAAAATAAAACTCGATCAGCTCAGCAGTCGACAGAAAAAATCATTGAAATCACAATGACACCATGACAGACACCATGTTGCTATGACACACCCGTGAGTTTTCCCTGCTACTACAAGGACGGCACCATGCTGTGGCAACATGCCACTCCCAGCGAGGTGAGTGGTGTTCTTCCAGCGGTTCTGGCGCGGGCTGGAAAGATTCCTGGGGAAGCTTTGTAGTTTCTCGGCCACCTTGGAGATTCATAGCATGATTTGCGTAGCCTGAAAGTCAATACTGACACATATGTTATGTGTATATATATATATATATGTGCAAAAATGTGAATTCAATAGATCAAAACACACACAAATAAATAGAAATATATAGATTGATATGGAAGCCCAAATAGACCCTGTCCACTGCTTATTCAATTAGCGGTTGTTTATGACCATTGGATGCATCGCAAGGCTGTTTGAGAGAGAGCTGGAAGTTCCTTCTTGTGTCAAATGAGAAGAGATGTGTTTGCTTTCTGAACAGTCAGATTCGAATTGATGAGCAGATGGTTTTTTGATGTTTTTTGCCCACGAAAAGATTTATGGCCCGTGATTCATGACTCACAAGTTTGAGATTGCGCTTATTCTGGACGTCTGTATTCCCACTAGTTGGCTGATTCATAGAAGTGGTACCTACCGTTGAACAACGTCAATGGCAATGGGTGAATGACGGTGACTGTTGCCACTTCGAGATCCACTTTCCATCCTGGATTTTGGCTAACAAGTTCCCTAAGGAATGGTCCAATAGCATGGCTGGAAATGGTCCGGAGCAAGCATGCTGTGCCTAAGCGCAAAGGGCACCCCTCACGATGCAATAGAAAGATGAACTAAGACAGAATGCCAAGTTCATGCGAAAGGTAGATGCTCTCCTGAAGTTCTGACGTTTCCTTTCTGTTTTTCGGATTCATATCATGTCCTGGACTTGATTATATATCACTTGAGAAGTGTCTACCGGAATATCAGAATATCCCAGTGCAAATCTGAAAGATAATCTAAATACATGCAACATTATGCAACAAAGCGTGAGGTTGTAAACCATGACCCTTGATGAAGGTCAGCGTTAGGTAGCACTCAGGAAGTCAAACCGGAAATTCTCAGAGAAACTACTCAAAGAAGAATTGTTCAAGTCTCTCACTTTCAATGTTTAATTATTTTTTTGTTTTTTCCCACTCTTTGTATGTTCTTTCTTTTGTAATGTTTTTGAAGCGTTCCAGTTGAGTCCGCACAGAGAAACCCACTTGGTGCGCCACCAGGTGCGTGCGGTGGTGGTGTGAAGCTCTTGGCATCAGTGGTGTCCCACCTCGATGGTCGACTTCAAGCGCCCCAGGACGATCCATGTGGGTCCATACTGATGCCATACTGCATAGCACTGGGGATAGAACTGGGAAAGCTGGAGACGTGGATAAGATGATGAACATGTTGAGCGTCACACGAAAGATGAACTGGTCATGTTTATGGAAGTTAACACGTACATGTTTGCCCAATTTTGACGAAAATAGCAGTCATAGCGTCGCAAATCACAAGGAATCAACGAAAGACCTTCAGAGAGTGTGATCCCATAGGACCATGAAAAGGACAGAAGGCACACAGATCACACAGGCACCATGTGAAGAGAGATTGAGATATGAGAAGATTTGAGTATCATTTCGATATGACTATCCACTTTCACGAAAGCTTCTGCTAGCTGAAGTCCCCCTTGCTGCGCACTTTACACTCCACACTTCACACGCTAAACGTTACACTCCACACCTTGCACGTTGCACTCCGCCCTCGGCATGTTACACTTAACTGTTAACGGACTTTACACGCCACAGTATGCCACAGTATACACTCTAAACTTTACACTCCACACTTTACACTCTAAAATTTGTCACACTTTACACCCCACACTCCACACTGTACACTTTACACTTCACACTCTACACTTGGCACTCCACCCTCTACTTTTACGCGTGGCACTCACACTTTAAGGTTTACGCTTTCACACTTTCCACTGTACACTTGACTTTAGACCCTCACAACTTTGCCCTTTTCACACTTGACGCTGTATGGAACCTTGGCCTAGCTCCATTGTCATGTTGCGTGCGCACATCTACCTGTCGTCGTAAACTGTCGCCTCGCACTGCGTGACGTCTTCCCGCGCTTCCAAAGGTCCACTCCGGTGCCGAAGGTGGACCTTTGAATTTTCCCGACTCAGTTGTCATGATCTTGTCTATGCATGTCTATGCTGAATGTCTTCATTTGCTTCGTGCAACAGTAGACAACAATCATATGTTCTCAAAAATTGTGCTTACACTTGCGCTACCTTCTGTGTTTCATGCCCATCACCCTGCCAAGCTAGCTTTCGTCCCCAACTCGCTTGTAGTATCATTATGATATACCGATGAGTTTCCATTTTAGCTGTATACTAGGAATATGAACTCATCATAACTCATCAGTATATCATAATCATAATCATGATCCATTTTATGATTTTTTATGATATACATTGAGATACTAAAGTGCTATGTTTATAGCTGGTTTAAATCACCCATGAACCAGGACGGCTTCGATGAAGGCGGCATGGCTCCGGCAGACAGGCTGCCTGAGGAGACGCCGCGCCACCGTGGGATGGCGACCGTTTCAAACGAGTGGGGACTGGAAAGCACGAGGATAAGACTGGGACCACTGGGATATGGGCACTGGAAATAATGTGGTTTTAGTGTGTTTTAGTATACTGTTAAACTATCCAGTTTTGAGCCGTCTAGAGTAGTTTGGGGGAGAATTTTGAAGCCGTACCCAGGTCTACAAGAGGTGGCATGAATACAGGCATGGCAGACTCAGTCGGAAGTCTCTTGCCTTTCGCATTGCCTCAGGAGTTTATGGATTCCGATCCAGTCACTGCACCTTTGGATCAGATTCCGGCCAAGTTTGCTCATTATCTCACATCTGTGGACAAGAAGAGGCAGGGTGCAATTTCTGTGCTGATATTGGCTGGGACTGAACCATCATGACCCTGGAAGAATTGTGTTTGATGTCCTGTGAATTTTGACATATGGCTGTCTCTGCACGTCGTTTGGCATTCGTTTATCTCTCATTGTGACCATCCTGGGTAATTAATTGTTTCAGAGACATAGATGTGGCCCACGGATTGACAACTTCGCAACATCGGAACGACGGTGACGATGGACTGTCCCTGGCCTAATACTGTACCCCTACAAAAAGGTCATGATATAATAGATATACTATATAATATATCATATATGATATATATAATATATAATAAATAATATATAATATATACTATATAATATATCATATATGATGTATGATATATTATATATGATATTTAAATATATTTAATATATAATATATAGTATATACAATATATAATATATGATATATGATATATGATATATACTATATAATATATAATTTATAATATATGATATAGAATTTGATGTTTGCGGATCATGACACAGTACCAGACACATCAGCAAGCATCTCACTACAGGCAACAACCAGATGTCATGGGCCTCTCCGCACGCTTCTACAGCGTAAAGCCCACAGATGACTGCAATGGCCTCTTGGCTCAAGGCAAGTTTGGTCTGATTTCCAGGCCCATCATTATACTTATATACAATCATATACATATACTATAGATGATAATATGTTATTGTATGCTACATGAGAACAATACATAAATCTATGTTCGATATGTATACAATATATATAGTATATGTAGATAAACATATATATATATACACATACAGGTACAATTACAATTACAATATGTAGATTATATATATTATACATACAGGTATACGATATGTAAATTATATATATATAGTAGAGCCAACACAAATTTATACAATAGATTTAAGGCAATATAATATCAACTGAAACTTGTTCAAGGTTCCAATCTCCCAATGGCCGAGGTCCTGCGCCAATGTCTTCAACCATTGATCGTGCGTTGGATTATCGTTGCTGGGTGCAGGATTAGGCATGGCGGCATGGCACTAATGCGACTAGTGGATGGATTGAGAATGGCTTGAGATTGATCATTGCTATTGACATCTGATAGGATTTCATAGCGGATTGAGAATCGATTAATGGATGTGTAATAAATTCAGAACGCATGCAGTACGGTTTCTGGCTATTTTAGTATTGCTGGCCATCCAGAAATGCGGCAGGAAGTAAACCAGCTGTCAAGGGAGCCATGTGAAACACCATGAACCGCTGGGACGGTAGGATTTTGGCGTTTTGGCGTCCCCTGTTTTCAGACCCACATTGAGATCCATTGGTTTTGTAGGCGGTGAGTCACCGGCATGGATTGAGGCTTTGGTTTTACTGGTGGCTTCCAGCGCTTTCTTCAATTACATGCCAAGCATGCGGACTCTGGCAGTGACTTTGCAAGGAATAAACTGATGTTGAAGTCCTTACCTAGTCAACAGACACGTGCGGCTTTTCACCATGAGTCGGTGATGAGGGCACCGAAAGGCTGTTTGAAGCTGTTCCAAGCAAAGTTGTTCTTTGATGTGGAATTGAGTTGCCTTCTGCGTTGCAGAGAACTCAAATGCTGAACAATATCCACAAGGGAGAAAAGTCGTTCATTGTTCCTGTTGCGTTGCAAAGCCACAGAGCTATCAATTTCGCGCAGCATATCATTGGATGGACGAATCCTCAGCTGGTGCCAGGCTTTTTCTACGGCAAATGGACTGGAACCATCAATATTTTGGAGAAGGGGAAGTATGTCTTCGATTTGGACCTTGGATTTGACACCAGCAGCTCCATCAAGATTGATGGCCAGGCGAATGGCTCAGTGGCTTGATGGGTTTTTGAAAATCGAAGCCCCGCTTGGAATGCTGTTATCCTCTCACCAGCCAATTCACAACCAGCATCAAACAATTGGCTTTATCCCAGGAGAGGGTCTCTGCAGTATCCCGTTCCACTGAATGGTTCTTTGGAACATCCTCCCAATTTTTCAGTGGCTTTATGGGTAGTTAATATGGTAGTTACAGATCTCCCCGTTTCTGACGCAAAAAAAACGCGAGGAGTTGCTGACCCATGGACAGTGCAAGGCATCAAAGGCCGGGGTGAACTGGTGACCCATGGCCCATGGCCCATGGCCATCCATGGTCCATAGAGAGATCCAGAGAGTTGCCGAAAAATATCGAAAAGCCGCACCCGCAAAAACGCCCGCATTTGGAAAATACGTGCAAAGGTACGGCCCGTCTCAGTGAGATAACCTTGTTTATTAACACAAATTGACACAAATCAAAGTAAATTTGTCTAATTATGTCTATTTGCTTTGTTGTAGACTCTTAGTAGACCATCCCAGTTCCAAGTGCCACCCAATTTTGACCCCATACCCATACGTTTTTTGTTTCAATTCACAGAAATTCATCCCAGTCTCAAAGAAGTTTTCCTCCGTTCGAAAATCCTCGGAGGAAGCGTACTCTTGCGCACAAAAGCGCTGCCTGTGGTTAGATGGCAACTGCATGCCACCATCTGGTCGGGTCCTCAAAGAGAGAAGGTGTTGACCAGGTGGAGGAAAGGCGTGCTGTCGGACCGTTGTAGCGTTCTTTATATACCTTCCAGAGCCGTCTGGATCTTTGACTTGCAAGAGAATCTCCCCCGAGCCTGACTTTGAACCTGGAACCTCTCAACAGTTTTTAGTAACCTTTTGACATCGATAAAAGGCCAACCGGCAGGCACCAGGAATCTATACAATGCTGCGCCAGTGCTGGCAGAAATTGGACAAGATTACAACATCTTGAGCAGCACTCCAAATTTGTAGGTTTTTGCTGTTACACTCGAGGTGCTTTTATTCAGTTGTGAAGCAGAAATTTGAAATGCAGGACGTCAAAGTCAGATGGTTGAAGACTAAATGTGGTTAAATCATGTTGAATCCTCTTTTTTAAACTACTGTGAATGAGAGAAATCCTGCACCACCTTGGATTATCAATGATGATTGTTTCCCTGTAAATAATATAAATAATGGGATTCCTTCCATCCACAGTATGTTTTACTGTTTAAAACCTACCTGTGAAGTCCCAAATCTTGGCAGGTGCCGCCGGGAGTGCTCCGGCTCCAGCACCGGCCGTGGCCGTCGCGGCCGCGGCCGCGCCTGGCTTGGAATGGCCGCGGCTGGTGCCAGAGAGACAGTCAGATGTCATGAGATTCTTGGCACATCTTGGCACAAAGTGGAGAATCTGACAGAATATGACCTGAGGTTCTTTAAACTTTTGTTGAAATATGTTGAAATTCTTGATCCATGATTTTGTGGTGATAATTTAGGGTGAACAACATGTCATTAACTTTTAAAGCGAAGTTCCAGTTTTGACTCAAATCCCCATACAAAAGTTGGTTCGTGAAATACCTCCATGCCTTGGTACCTGAAATGCACAAAGTCAGTCAGAGGCATCGTGTTTTGGTGATTAAAATTCATATGAAAGGGGGGATTACGTATGATTACAGCAAGTGGGTAAGACTCTGACCATGTCAGTCCGAATTCTTGGATGCTTATCTGCTTATCCCCATCGAACCTCAGTGGGTAACAACGGGCAGGTTCAACCAATCCCAAAGGTTCAACCCACCAAAGATGAAAATTGAATAGCCGAATTATATTTCCACAAAAAGTAAGTGCAAATTCATCCCTTCCGAAATACATAATGATATATAATGATATATAATGATATATAATGATATATAATGATATATAATGATATATAATGATATATAATGATATATAATGATATATAATGATATAATGATATATAATGATATATAACGATATATAATGATATATAATGATGTATAATGATGTATAATGATATATATATATATGATATATATATATATAATATATATAATATAATATATATATATATATATTGCATACTGTATGCTGTCTTCCAAAAAAAATAAACCATTCCGATACAACATTGGATCTGCCCCGATAGCTGAGGCCGGGGTCACCTTTGAAACCTCCAAATTTCACCTGTGAACAGCAAGGTGAACTGGGTGAATTGGGTAAACTACCCGCTGTCCAAGGTCCTTGGCACAACGCAGCAGCTCTGGGTTTGCTGCAGGCTCCCTCCCCCGCCACAGCGCCTGGGGCCGCTGCAGCGCCTGCGCCAGTGCCCATGGCCATGGCACCTGTGCCCGCGCCCATGGCGGCGGTGCCGGTGCCGGTGCCGGCTCCAGCGCCACCACCCTTTGAGGCGGAAGGAAAACCAGGAGAGATGTTGGGCACTCAGATGGCCGGACGTCAAGCTCTGAGGAGCTAGATGCAAGCTGGGTCAGCCAAACAGGATTTGGATGGATTTCGGGAAAAAAAAACATTCAAAGAGTGCCACTCCAATGACTGCTTGAAAAAGCTTGAAAATACATGAACATACTGTACTGCTGTTTTGCATTTTGAGGCTGTTGAGTGTGGGAGGTCACTGCGTGGAGGTTTTGGTGCGTGCCGCCTTTTGATTGCAAGCAGCGAATTTTGTGTCTAGGACTGTCCTGCTTTGACAATCTTTTACATCCACTGACTTGTTTTGCTGGTGATAGTCAGCCCTAAGGATTCAAACAGCCGCTCAATCCAGCTTTCGTGCCTTGCCACAATACTGGAGTCAAGGAAAAGGAACAGTGGCATCTATCCTTATGCAACTGAGGTTAGTGAGGAGCTTTACTCTTCTTACTTTTTGCAAAGATTTAGGAATGCTTTTTTCGCACCTGCCAGGTAAGGGTCTCTAGATTTTCGCAAAGGTGCAACTCCTCCTCCTCCTCCTCTTCTTCTTCTTCTTCCACCTACTACTCCTCCTTGTCCTCATCTCCGCCTCCTCTCTGCCTTTGTGGGTTTCAATTGTTGTGAGCCATATCGCGAACTCCAGATGCACGCCTGGACCCGAACTCCATATCGCCAGCCCCTGATGCAGTGGAGCACCATATCGCGAGCCTAGGATGCTGTGGAGCACACCTGGACCCAAACACATGCCAGAGAGAATGCCAGAATATAACAGAATATATAGACGCCAGAAAGAATGTCAAAATGGATGCCAGATTGAATGCCAGAAAGAAGGTCAGAATATATGCCAGCTTTTCAGATAGAATGTCAGAGTATATGCCAGAAAGAATGTCAGAATATATATATATATGCCATATATCCATATATGCCACATATACTTCCAGATGGTATGTCGGAAACTATGTCAGAATAGTGTTATTTTCAGGGTGGGGCTCGCTCGAAGAAAGTAATTCATGTTTTTCCATTGACCGGACAACAGCACGTAGTTGCAGGGATGACTCAGACACCTCAACGCTTTTACCCATGATACTCAGAATGAGATGTTTTGTGCTGTTTTTTTAGATATATAAATCTCTTGTTTTTTTTGCGGGTTGATTGATTGATACCTCTTTTTGGATCGCCATATCTACCTACATCATGATGCGTGGAATGCGTGGCAGTTGGCTCAAGAACTGGTTCCAGCTGGTCTGAAGGGGTCAGCTGGGCTCGTTAGTTGTGGGAGAGCAGGCATTTGTGTGGTGCTCTCTTTATGCTAGATTGCTGCCTCAGAGAGGACCCTGGGGCTGGACTTTTTGGTGATTGAATAGAGATTGCACGAACAAAAATTAAAGATTCAACCGATTCAAACCGTTTGAAGTTCGGTGAAGTGATTTTTTTTCCTCATTTTGTGCAGGGTCAAATGCTGTCCCAGGGAACCCTGGGAGGAGTCGACCATCTACAAGGAAAATCCACCACAGTTTGTCATTGACGACAAGGAGATGAAAAGCAGTGATCCGGTCTCTTCCGAAAAACGATTATCTGTGACAATTATCACAGATGTGCCTGAGGTGACGCACAAGCCAAGCATACCCACCTCCCCCGACGACATTGCAATCATGTCCCGCCAAAGCAGTACGACCTTCAGGCTTGCAGGTGAAGGAATTTCTCCGAAATCTCCGAAATCTCCGAAATCTCCGAAATGCCCAAGCGAAAGTTCGGGGGTCTTTCAATTCTCGCCAAAGAGTATCTGAGTGCTGGTTTCACATACGTGTTATTTTTCAAATTGTCTCTACTGAGGATTATGATCCCAACAAATGAATGAATATGAACAACCATAAATACATAAATACGCAAATAGCTAAATAGATGAGCACATGCTACATAGATCAACAACTAAATAAATCAAGATAATATGATAATATAGATAGGTAGACAAAGACATACGTAATTCATTGATTCATGTAATTCATGTTTGTTTTTTCCTGCGCGCTATCTTTCGAGCTAATTCAAGCAGTTTTTTTTCACCACCAAGGTATGCGTTCGGAAGGCAGTTCCAGAAGTAACTTGGAGAAGTTGAAGGTGCCTTGGGATGTGCGCAGTGGCACTTCTGTCGCGGACTTCGACAACTTGGCTCCGACCAATGACTACACCATGGATGAAGAGCTCGGGGTGGGTGGCTTCGGGACCGTCTACAGGGGCACCAAGAAGACCAATGGGACAGAGGTACCAACTGTACCAACCAAAACAAAAAATCGAACAAATAAAGGATATAAAGGCTACATATATCAAATTATATCAATATAGCCATCATTTGCCCTACATGTATCCTACATGTTAAAGATCATATGATTTTTCCGGAACATGGGTGAAACATCCAGAACTAGCTGCCACAGGTGGCCATCAAAATCATCCAGCGAGAACGCTTGCACTCAGAAGACAACTTCAAGGAGGAGCTAAAGGTGGCAAGAAAACTGCAACATCCCAACATTGTGTTGCTGCATGCTTCTTACCAGGACTGCACAAGTGCTGAGCAAACCTGGTGGGTACCCACTCGTGAAAGGTGCTTTTTATTATGGTTGAGGTTTCTGCCAGAAATAGGGATGTTAATAATATCCAGCTATTTGTTGTTTTTCTGTATCTAAGATCATGATAGGGAACCCATCTAGAACCTAAATGAAGTGCGCCAACATCCCAAATGGAGTAAATCCATGTAATCCGCCTCCGAAAATAGGCCAACTTTTTTTGGAGGTATTTGTCGTGCTTCATTGTTTGAATCGTGGCTCCTTGTTTGCCATCCTTTGCATCTGACCTCAAAAAATCTCCCGTCTCCAGGTCCTGAAGTTGAAAAAAATCTCTCTGACAGCTTCCCCACGATAAAGGTCTGAAATGTTGGGGACCTTCCTTAAAATCCAAAGTAAAGTCAGTTCAACTTCAAATTCAAACTAGTTGAGATTTCATGTCAAAGTGCTTAGAGTCAACTCTAGTTGAAATTCAACTCCACTTACCTAGACTTAGTTTGATTCAACTGGACTTTGAAGCCAAGTTGAATTCAAATTCAGGTAAGTCAGCTCAAGTTCAAACCAAAACAAACCAAGTTGAAAATCTGAATTGAAATTGAACAATTAAAGCCACAATCTCAAATATAATTTCCAATATAAACATAGAAAGAAAACCTGAAACCTCTGTCCTGACCGTGTGTTGGGCTTTTTTTGGGGGGAGATCCAACCTTGGATTCGTTGGCTTCCGACTCGAGAGCTAAGGGCCCCATGTTTTGCTGTGTTTTGCAGCATTTTTTCTGCTGAATTTCTGTGAAATACTGGTTGGTGGTTTGGAACCATGGAATTTTATGACTTTCCATTCAGTTGGGAATTTCATCATCCCAACTGACTTTCACTCCATCATTTTTCAGAGGGGTAGGTCAACCACCAGAATATGAGACCTGAAATGAGTTGCGCAATTGTCGTCGCGCTTTAATAAACGGTTCTGAAGAACGGTTCTGTCAGAAGGATCAGGATCCAGTGTACCAACATGAGCGTTGTCGACATTGTTTGTCAGGAAAGTTAAAGATTTCCGGCTGAGCCGGCTGAATTGTTGGATTGTTGACCAGGACGACAACAACTACTACTTGGTCATGGAGTTTTGCCCTGGCGGCACTTTGGCGAAGTTTGTTGGCACCAAGACCATGCAGAAGGAGACTGGTCCTCCAGTTTCCCTAGAAAATCCTAGGGCTAAACATCGGAATCTAGGCGCAGTTATGCAAACATCATGGAAACACAAGGATTCCAAACCCCCTGTGCAGGACGATTTGGGTTTGTGGACCGTTGGCTTGGATGTGGACCTCTTTGCCAAATATGCATGGCAAATGCTCTCGGGAACTGCCTATCTTCATTATTGCAAAATCGTGCACAGGGACATCAAATTGGAGAACTACATGCGAGTAGGAGATGAGGAGGACGCGCAACTAAAGCTAATTGACATGGGTCTCTGGTTGATGGTTTCAGATATCTTTTTGGTTGCTGTTCCCCAATATATTTGATAGTAACTATTCGAACTGGAGACTTATTTTGGGGGGAGAACGAAGTTTCCTCTCTCTAGGTTCCCAGAGTTGGATGATGAACTTAAAAATGCCGGACATGCCGGACTCACTGTGAAAACATCTGAATTCAGCAAATAAATGTGCAAATTGTCCCAAGCCAGCCAAGCTTGACAACCAGGTCTGGCTTGCAGGCTCAAGAATAAGAAACGGATTCAGGATGTGGTGGGCACAGTGTTGACCATGGCCCCAGAGGTGCGCAGTAAGGACTATGACGAGAAGGTGGATGTGTGGGGCGTGGGCATGTGCTTGTACATGTCGGCCGTTTGTATGGATCCCTGGTACAACCCCGATGACTATGCAGCCATGGAGGAGGATCAGATTTTGTCGGCTTTGGATGATCCCGAACTCAAGTTGAACTATCACGAGAAACGCTGGAATTTGAAGCCGGATGAAGTCAGGAACTTGGTGGAGAGTCTTTTGGTGGTGAATCCAGCACAACGTCCAAGGGCACGGCAAATTATGACCAACAACAAGTGGCTCATTACCAATGGAAGCACGTCTTTGAAGCAGCAGATGTTTTTCTTTACAAAATCTTTATTCAACTAGACGCTTAGTGACCATAGATGGTTAGAAAGAAATTACTTTGGCTATTTTGGCTCTGGTGTTAGCTGATCTTTTGGAGGAAGAGACGCGGGTGGTGGATGCTGCTGTGCTATCTCCTGAGATCTCCTGAGCTGGAAGCCGTCGGAGTGAGTAGTCGTGCTATTTCGTGAAGCCAACTAATTCCCGTTAGATGGTTTTCTGTGCAGTTGCGAGCTTTCCGTCCCATAATATTTATGTGTATATATATATATATGTGTGTGATAAGACTATATTATATATTATATATACATAATTATACATACATTATACTACATGTATTATTGTTATTATATATTTATATATTATTTTATATATACATTATATTATATATACATTGTATCAGTATGACAATATATATAATATAATATATATTATGTATATGTATATATACACGGACCAGATACTTTGTTGATCAAAATTCTTGGGGCTCAGCCTGGACTTGTTCCAAGGCATCTCGCTGCTGTTGGGCAAGGGGAGTGTTTTTTGTGCACCGATCAGTGGAACGGCCGAGGTCCTCGAAGACGCTGTTCACAGACCGAGTAAAGAAATTCTCCACTGCCCCGACATTATTTTGCAATGCAGAACTGCTTGGTGGTTTCCACAAAACACAGATCTGTTAATTTCTGTTAGATTTTCCTCATCCTAAGACATCCCAAAAAAAATGAGATTATCCAAAGTGATGGCCATATTTTGGTTTTCAGGATTGAAACCACCAACCAGTAACCAGGGTGTGTTTGAGAATGGGCTGCCCAGTTCCAAAGGATATCATCGTTTTTTCCCGTGGTAAATGGCAACGCCGGAGATGGCCTACTCGAACAGACCCAGAAAACCAACCTTGCACCACCACTATTGACCGAAGGTCAGTAGTGGCGCTCTCGCTCGTCAAACGGCGAGCCTCAGAACTATTTTGCTTCGGAAAAGAGTTGGCAGAGACCGGTCAAGGACGACGGAAATGCAAGGGATTCATGGCATTCATGGCATTCATGGACCAGCTGACCAGATGAATGGTTGTTTCATTCTTAGTAGCGACCAGACCTGACTTAATCCACCTGTATTCTGGTGACCCGAACCAAGGTACAATGGCCCTGACACAGGGCATGTGAAGACTGTGGTGCCTGGGCAGGCCGAAATTCTGTGAACATTCAAAAAGATATCGTCACTTTTATTGAGGTTGTAAAATGTTGTAAACCCCATACCATAAATCTCAATAAGCCTCCAAATATTTGGAGGCTTCAAATTTCAGCCGTGTCCGGTGCCGCGGCACGGGTGCCTGATGGCAGGTGCTGTTTTGCGACCCAGTGGTGCCAGCCTGCGTTTCCCCGGAGCTCAGCAGCTGCAAATCTTCGACTTGTGGAAGCGCTGACATGTTGCGGGCTGAAGGGGCCATTGACTCACAAAATGCTGGGCATGTTCTGTATCCATCTTGCTCTTAATGTGTATGTGTATGTGTATATCACACATACATAGTATACATAATGACCATGAAGACATCCAAGTAACAATCAATCCAAATGGATCCAAATGGTATTACCCACATTAGCCAATTCAGTTTAGGGCTCAATCATTTTGAACCGTAGCCACGGAAAAAAACAAAAAACAAAACCGGTGGGATCTCGTTCGACAGACACTGGATGACTGCAGTATGGCAAAGGCTTCGAAAGGCGTTTGCAAGAAAAACACCCATGTAGATATCACATAATAACATATGATAATACATGATAATACATGATAATACATGATAATGCTATAAAGACTTACATGATCTGAATCATTATCTGAATCATTGTTATTCTTTGCAATGATTGGCGTGTTGTGGCACATGTTTTTCTTGGTGCCTGCCAGGCTCAGCGTCAGAATCTGCACCAGCACCTGCACCAGCCCCGGATGCCTTGGTTTCCGTGGAGACGACGGAACCAAGGATTCCACCAGGCGGTCCCCCTCCAAAAATGTGCTCAAAATGTGGGAAATCCAAAACTTGCAGTCCTTTCTCAAAAGCAATGACCAAAGCAAGTGAGAAAAGAAGGACATGTGATAGAAATCGAAAAGACAAAGGAGGAAAGGAATGGTTTCGTCTCCCTTGTGTACATGTTAAGGGATCTTTCCCTTTCCTTATATTTTTCCTTGTATGATTCTGCTCTTATCTTCCTATTGTCTGTTCTCTTGACATTTCTGTTCTTTGCATATGTTTGCATCTTCTTGTCTTTGATTACTGGTTCGGCAATGTGTTTTTCCGCAGTCTCCGGCTTTTCTCGGCGTTGGTTTCTCCAACTATGTGTTCCCTCTTTAGAAGTCTGCGACTGTTTCGTTTTGTTTACCATGTCTGTTCCGTATGCTGCTTCTTCTCTTTTCAAGGTCCGACCTTTTTGTTCCTCTGTTCCGCATGCTGTTTGCCTGGATGTGTTTTGTTTGTTTCTTGGATAGCTCGGATGGTTCTTTCTTCAACCAACACAAATTGGCTGCTTGTGTTTTTCTGGGATTGATCCTTTTCGGGACCTGTTTTTCCTGTGTCACTCAGCCACCTGTCCTGGCGGATAGTAATGATGATTAGTAATGATGGCATGCTTTAGCTATGGGAGTTCCTCTTTATATCGGAAAGAATCCCCATGCACACTGGAATCGAAATTCCATTTTCTCTGTTTTGGCGCTGCTGCTTTGATCCCTTGTTTCTTCGCGCTTCTGTTGCTTGTTTTCCTTCTCCTGTCGCAAAACATATCCCGTCAAAGGTGGAAACATGTGATGAAGTGGATTGAATCTGTCTTTTCTTCTGCATGGGGGTAAGAGGCTGCATGAATTGTATAGTGTAGCTGGCATGATCACAAAGTTTGCAGCCGTAATGGCGACCTGCATGAGCAGGCTGGAGCGTGCCATCAATGCTGGAGGCAAGGCTAGATGACTCCTAAGTTTTCTATGATTTGAACCTGAAGATACCTGCAACTGTGCTGATCCTGTGAAAAAATGTTGTGAGGAGGCCGTTTGTTCACAGCTAATTTGATGCGGAAACCCTGATCAGTCAGGGTGAGGTTCAATTGCTGCAGTAGCCACGGATTGGGCGTGATCAAAAGGATCTCAACAGCCATTGCTTGTTGAACAATGTTGAACACATCACAAGCCAGCTGAGTCACCAGCCAAAGTTGCTAAACAATGTTATAGAATGTTATAGATAGTTCACATAGTTCACACTTGATTTTCGGAGCAAACCCTGAGTTGCAAGCCCGACTCGGTACACTCAGCTTCCAGGCAGTGCAGAGGTGAGCAGCGAGAGGGGTTAGGTCTCAATTGTACATAGTCCAGCAGTTCAGACGCAGGAAGGCAATATCTGCCTAGCAGTTTCCCTACCATCTTCAGGATCCTTGAGGATTTTCAGATGTCTGTAATTCCAATCAATTCCTAGCAGGCTGACTGGGGGTTTATTGATGTTGGCTCACCATACTGGTGAACACCCAAGCAGCTGAGTGTTGTGGATGCTCATACCCCCAATCAACCAATGGTGCTGTATTGATATTTAACCACCTTCGGCGTGTTCCGCCGGCCACCATGGAAAGAGCTATCCTGGAGGCTGCAAACAGCCCTTGCACAGGCCCAGCAAGAACATGCAAGAACATGGTTTTTGTGTAAAACACTGTGGTTGTGGATAACCCAGTTTTGTGTAAAGCAGCTCTTTGTGTAAAAGATGGTTTGGACGCAAAAACATTGGTGTTGTTCAAACCACGGTTTAAGTTACCAAAGCATGTGTGTAAACCAGGGTTTTGGAAAAGGCCATATTGAAAACGGCTTTGGAAAAGGCCATATTTAGAAAGGTTATGCGTGTAAAAGGTGTTCGGCACAAAAGCCAGTGGATCAAGTATTGGATATAAGAAACGACGGAGCAAACCGATGGCAAACACAACAAAAAAACGGAAACAACCATCGAAATGACAGCAAGATGTGCAAAACCAAGCGCAGAGTTGAGCCCACCACAACATAACGAAAGATCAAGACAAAAGGTGGGTTCAAGTTCGACGAGGCAAAAATCCGCGCCAAGGGGAAATTCTAGACAAGACAAAGACAAAAAAAACAGTCCAACTACGAACAAGCAAGATCCACAAGACACGCCGGCAGGCCGGCGGATTGGCTCATCCCCATGTTTCTTCGACCATGTTTGTGTTCTGCAATGAAAGCCAAAACTCAGCGATCAGCTGAAGGGCCACTTCACTAGAGATCGTGGCCAGACAAAAATGCTGTCGCTCAATGGACTCTTGCGGGGCGATTTTAAGCAGCTGGATGCTTTGCACCCATTTGTGAGGTTGAACATCCCCTGAAATTATGCTGCTTAGAGCAGAGAGTGTTGAACCCAAAAAGCTAATGTTGGCAGGGGGAAAATGTCAAATCCAAAACAAAGAAGAGGCGATAGGCGACATTCCATTTCCACCTGCATCACCTGCCCAAGGACTTTCAGAAGTGACCCTCTTCTAGGATGTGAAGTTTTTTCACGCCTGAATGACTGTTCGACTTTCATACAGTGAATGGAAGGGATCCGACATAATTGGTAAATGGTGCGAACTAACTATCCTTGTGCCTGCAAAAGCTGCTCCAGTCATCAGAGCACTCTGAGCACTGTCAGGGAAAGGAAGCTACTCAACAGTTGCAGCGCAACAACAGTGCGCCTGTCCTGCCCCAAGATCTTGTCTCGTACAAAAACAGCTGGGAATTATGCAACATAGTACTTACTTGTTTGTTTTTTTCAATCAGAGGGCCTGGGATGGTGTGTGGTTTGTTCTCAAAGTATGCAGTTGTTTGCATGTTCAAATCTCAAAAAATACGGATTCCATATCATTCCATCATGTTGTACTCTTTTTTTATTGATGATAATTGTCGATGCCATTTCTTTGCCCTGATAGCACTTTTTGAGACTGCAGACTTGGACTTTTGCATGAATGACACGTGGATTGCCTATAAACATTTATAAACATGAAAATATGATGATATAATATATGTGTATGTATTGTTTTAAATATAATATATGATGTGTATATCACGAAAGCTAGCGTCAGCTAGCTGGAGTCTTCTTGCTTTAGCAAGTATTGGGGGGGCTGCTCAAGGACATCACGTGATTTTTCCCGCGAAAGGGCCCCCCCCTGCCCCCTCCCCCATATATATCATTGTTATATATCATATATCAATATATCATTGTTGCATCCTCGTTGGGACGAACAATGCCGCGACACGATGATGACAGTCCCTCCGCAACTCACCTCTTCCCTTCCTTCTTTCTCCTACCCCGCTAGCTTTCGTCATCCACCCCCGGCCTCAAGTATATATATGCAAATATTGTATAATACAATATTAAACATCCCTGATGGGCAGAAACTTTAGGTGTTTATTCCTTCTCTCGGTTTTAATGTGCGATGTGTTTTTTTCCAAACGTGAGTTTCCCAAGGCTTTGGTGGTGAAGGACCGGGTTTTCTGATAGTGATACAATGTTGTGGTGGGCACTTTTGGAGATGGTCCATTCGTTGAGGATTGTTCAGGTTTTTCTTGAACGCTGTTGAAACGTCATGATCCCAGGACCTGCCGAGACATCCTCGAATAGCCTGGCAAGAAGACAGAGGTGATACAATGGCAAGTGAAGTACGTTAAAAAGTCGGCGTGCGACAAAATCAAAGCGTGTGCAAGTTGCAAATCTAACTAGCTGCTCTATCTGCTGCACCTTTAGTTTTTTCAGTGTTCAACTTCTGCCGCAGCATTTGAGGCCTTCCAATCCCTCCGCATCAGGTTTGGACTCTACGCCCGAATTGAAAGAGACGCCAAAAGAGAAACCCAAAACGCATGGCTTCGTGCCGGTATGGGGTCTGCAAGCAGGCCATGCCACCGGGTCGGGTGGTCAAATCAGACCTTCATGTCTTCCAGAATTGGAAGGGTAAGAAATGCAGGAAAGTCATGGAAAGTCCCAGAATTACCACGAAACAACAATGGTCTTCTGTAAATGTTGCAATCCATTGTTGACCCATGGTTGCTCCACTGGAGGATGTGCGTCGTTTGTTTGTCGAACCCAAAACCCAGAACGGAACCGGAAGACTGGAAGCCTGGAACCTGCTGATGGGTTGCAAAGCTGGGTTAATGTTGGCCTGGAGAAGTGTCCGGTCAATCAAGTAGTATTGATGTTCACAGGTTCAGAGGTTTCCTGTTATAATCTGTTATATAACTAAGCCTGAGGGTCAGATCAATGAAGGGACAGGTGGATGGTTCGTATCACGAAAGGGGAACTTATCTCAATAGTGTTTGGATGTGCAGGGCACTGTCAGTGTGTTAAGTCTGGCTTCAATTCGATGGTTTTGTACAGCTACTTCCCCAAGTAGCCAGCCCAGGAAAAGCTGGTGTGTGTTTGCGCCATATTGAGGTTTGAAATAGCAAAACCGATCGTTTTCGTCGCTGGGTTATTGAAACGCTTTCCGACTAGTAGATCCAAACATGTTTGCCAAAGAAAAACATGGAAAAAACAAATAGACGGACATGACCAGTTGTGCTTGCCCCTCAGGCCTTGAAAAGTTGACTCCTCCAAAGGTTGTGCAGCATCACATCCAGGTCCACTTGCCGAGCTCGTGTTTTTCAGTAGCCTTAATTGGCTTTCCACGGATCAAGATGATTGACCTAACAATTTGATGGTTGAATGGCGAACCAAACATGTTGCGAAACTCCATTTTTTGTTGTTTGAGCCATCCATCCCTTTGAATACAACTTGTGATGGTTTTGCCCCTTTTCAGTTGCTTATAATGTTTGAATATGGTTGTGAATTCGTGCGCAGATGTGGATGCGGTAAGGGGTTGGAGTGTAACGACTGCAGCTGGGACAACAGCACCATGCAGGGCGGAAGTGCAGAAGGTGATGCTCCTGGCATGCTTGGCACTCAAAGCAATATCTATCCTGCTTGATGTTGTGATCGGACTGTTCTACACATGTCTACACCAGAGAGATCCAATTTCCAACAGCTACTGCAACTTAGTGTACCATGTATGTACTCATTATCGAGGTAACACAGTGCCGTTGCTCCTCCAATTACGCTGGAGTGGATATGTTGGATGTTGTCGAGCCTGAACATTGTTATATCAGGCACGGACATTGTAAAGATCAAGATGTCCAAGACGGACTTGAACGTGGAATTGGAAATGGCAGGCACCAGTGTTGGAACGTGCTGGAAACCGGAGGTATATACAGGGAAGTCAACCATAGAAGACTAAAGTTCTAGTCCAGTTGATCTATTTGACCCTTGGAGCAGCATTGATGAGAACGATGATAGTATCCTTACGATTGAGGCATTGAGGCTGGCCCTTTCCATTGGTATTTTGTGGCATTTCAAAAACAAGACTTCACCCTTTTAGCCCTTCCAATTCCCGGTGGCGAGGCGCTACATTGGCACGCAAAGCCACTTTGTGCAGAATGCAGTGACAGCCAGTGACGGCCCTACAACGCATGGGAATGTAAAGGACGGGTGCTGCAAGCTGACATGAGACCAAAGCCCCATATTTCCAAGAACTCCTGTAAGTAAAAAGATTCGTTGAAGGTGTCAGCACAGATTGGCCACCCCAGCCGAAGCAACATGTTTGAATATGTTTGAGCGTCGCGATGGTATGGATATGGATGAAGATCCAGTAGCAATATGTAGCAATGATAAACCGGATCTTAAGGTTCTGATAGGATGTGGGGATTGTTCATGAGGATGGCCATGATGGCCACCGGTGGCTAAAGTTTTTAGCTGTCTCGGGTGCCATTCCATTCAGTGTCATTCATGCCCAGGAACAAGAACGCGGCTTACTGTGGTATCTCCGCGAAAGATAAATCTAGGGTTTATTCTAGGGCCATTTAGCTGGAGCGATATAATATCAAAGCATGTATCATTTTACATATCAAACATGTCAAAACATATATATCAAAACATATATCAAAACATGTCAAAACCCAATGATCAAGATGCTTGTCTAATCTTATCCAGTGTTCTGCGATGTTCTGCATCCCGAGGGCCCTGGTTTTTTTGCAGGACTTGGCGAGCCACCTGGGAAGGCAACGGCGAACCGTCCAGGCCACAATGTGTTCTGCGATGTTTTCATATGTTTCCTGCCAAGTATTTTTTTATTTTTTGTGGGAAAAAATACAGATTTTGGACACACATGATAGCTATTAAATAGTTATTGATAGATTCATATAGATTCTATAGATCATGTCAGAGATATGCATTTCGATTTTTGAACTGCGCCAATGAGACGCACAGGTTCCCAATCAGATCTTCGCTGGTGTGGGCGATGCCGGTGATGACATTCCTTTCGGAGAGATGGGTTGGCCGGGATGCTGGGAAATCAACTGTGTAAAACTGTGTGTAAAAACAGGCAGCGTGGGACCGGATAACTAAACGCAACGAAATCACAGGAATACAATGAATTTATAATGAATATATAATGAATATATCATGAATATATATTTGATTAAATAGGAAAAGTGATCAATTCCGCGGATCCTAGCCATACACATAAGGTGTTTTTATGGGCATGTTTGGTCAGTTGGGATTCATTTTTCGTAGATCAGGGGATCCATGACAGGATTGAAGCCCATCAACCCTGGTGAAAATCACGGCACTTCAAAGGCTTGGCGCTGGGAGACGGCATTACGCGGTGAAGGACTGGGAAGCGACAAAGAGTTGGAAACGACAAAGTTCCGATGTGAAATTCGAAATGGGCTGGTTTGACCAAGTGCGGAAAACACATCAGTTTCTCAAGTTGTAGTTTCATGATGTTTGATGCAACATGATGCAACTTTTTTTTGAAGGTTTGTGACCTGCGTTTGGGCTGCTTTTCGGCTGCTTTTCTACGACTGTACTGCTGTACTGAGTCATACTACGCACGGTAAGTGGACAGATGGCCGGTACAGTAGCTATACACTATTAGACACGTGCTCGCCCGCTGCAAACTTAAGTCACATTTGCATGCATTTGCAAGACTTCACCACGGAAACTTAATGCATCGCTTTCTCTGCAGGAGAACATTGTGGGTGGCGTCTCAGAAGATCAGGCCAATGTGCGTGATCGTAACATATCGCAACTACTGTTGTGTTGTGCAGATCCAGTACAGTACCCTCTGGTAATTTAATATAACTATGGAAAATCACCATTTTTAATGGGAAAATCCACTATTAATGGCCATTTTCAATAGCTACGTTAAATTACCAGAGGGTAGTTCATAAGTTGTCGCATGTTGTCGCTGCCTTTCCGCTCCATCCACATCAGAGCATTCGACCTTGTCAAGGTCACACCCACGCGCCGAATTCCACGACAGCAACGAGACCACGTGTCCGGTAACCTGATCCATGCGCACATCCTCACCTGGTTTTCTGGGTTGATGACATTTTGGTTTTTGATGGGTTTTTGTATTTTGCTCGATACTATCTGTTTGACTTCAGCTCCTCTGTTTTTGGTCATGCCTAAAACTGGGAATATACCGGGATGGTGGTCCCAGTGACGTGATCTCCGAGGCATGGTGGCAGTGGAACCGACACCCCGCCGGAAGCTCAATAGTTCCACGATGTTCCACGAGTACCCCCAGAGGCCATACTATTACTGTGATGTACTATGATGTACTATGATTCTGATATACTATGATGTATTATGATATACGATGTTTTACTATGTTTTACTATGTTTTACTATGATATACTATGATATACTATGATGTATTATGATATACTATGATATACTATTATATACTATGTTTTACTATGTGTTGCTATGATATACTATGATATACTATGAACATCTATGAACTATGATGTACTATGTTGTGCTATGATTCTGATATACTATGATGTATTATGATATACGATGTTTTACTATGTTTTACTATGTTTTACTATGATATACTATGATATACTATGATGTATTATGATATACTATGATATACTATTATATACTATGTTTTACTATGTGTTGCTATGATATACTATGATATACTATGAACATCTATGAACTATGATGTACTATGTTGTGCTATGATTCTGATATACTATGATGTATTATGATATACTATGTTTTACTATGTTTTACTGTGATATACTTTGATATACTATGATGTATTATGATATACTATGATATACTATTATATGCTATGTTTTACTATGATGTATTATGATATACGATGTTTTACTATGTTTTACTATGTTTTACTATGATATACTATGATATACTATGTTATACTATTATATACTATGTTATACTATAATATACTATGATATACTATGATATACTATGATTTACTATGATGTACTATGATGTACTATGATATACTATGATTTACTATGATTTACCATGATATACTATGATATACTATGTTATACTATGATATACTCTGGTGTATTATGATAAACTATTATATACTATGTTATACTATGATGTACTATGATACTATTACTATACTACTACTTGTTATATACTATGGATATCTATGGATATTTTTGTGGGGAACATGATCAGCCAATTGATTTGGGGAGCCACATTTTGCACAGAACCACCTAAAACCAACACCATATTAAGAGAAACACCATATTAAGATTATGATAAGTGGTATAGCAAAATCGGCCCTTCTATCTGGGTTTGTCTTCAACTTGATTCAGGGATTTGAAATGTTTATTCGTTGATTTGAATCGCTCCGTTGGTTCTTTTTCCAGCATGTGTGTGCTTTCCTTCGTTCAAAAATTGGTTCCCGTGCGTGTTTTTGCTCGACCAGTAGCCACCGGCTCCTGCTTGTAGGCAACTTGTTGCGAAGATAGGTTGCTGCATTGGTCACAAAAAAGGATCAGATCAGATGTTGGTGCATGATTGGGATGTTCGAGCATGCTTTAGAGAAAAGACAGTGTTGCGTCACATCCATTGCCGGGCATGAGATGCATGAGTGACGAACTATGTTTATGCTCCTTTGACATTATTTTCATTATTATTCTCACTCAGGTCATTTTCATGCAAGGTGGACATGTCACCCATGAGTATGTCTGTTGTTTTTTTCCAAGACTCTGCACAAGACCAACAGTTGACATGCGCCGACGGTTCGAAGTCGGTGCCAATGTGGACAAGGAAGGCCATGCCTGTTGCGACGTGAAGCTGGTTTGTGGATTCATTCATATGTTTTCTATTTTTTTCTCATCTACAACTGGGATGATTGGGGGCCCTAAAGATTTGATTATTCTCAGGGCTGGCTTCACAACAGCCAAGCTGGTGGATTAAATCTCCCCCTTCTTGGGGTTTCTAAAACCCCTTTTTGGGTGGGTAGCTCAAACACCAACCAGCAGGTTATTCTGGATTTACTCGTGTTGGCCAATAGCCATGATATCCCATGGTGCTCCCATCTGTCGGGTTGGCCAATAGCCACCAACAACTCAGTCACTGTTGGCAAACATCCCTGGCAGTTTATTGGTTTATGTCCTCATAATGTCCCGTTGATGGCGTTAACCTCATTTTTGCCAAGTAGCCCCAAGCATGGTTAGTTTGCTGGTTGATATTCCCATGTTTGCGGGTTGATATCTGCTATGATTTCCCTGCAACTATCCTGTGGATGGAGGGATCAACCACCACCCATCAATTCATAGTTCGTTAAGATCCCGATTTCAAATATACCCACTAGATCATTTTTGATAATTTTAGATGTCCACTGGAACCTCATCTTTGGGCGGCACAGCCACCAGGAAATGGGTTCAACCAGAGATCTTCGGCTCCAAAGCCTCTGCCACGGCCACCTTAAGTTCCACCGCCACCACAGCGCGCGAATTTTCGCTGCGCCTGAGCTCCCCAGTGTGGCGCGCTTCCGGGGATCTTGAGGTGTCCCGAAAAAAGCGGGAAGAAACGGCCTCCGGATATTCCAGCATTTGCACCCAGGGCCTTTTTCGACTGGGTGGTGGTCTGAATCAACTGGGCTCCTGGCGACTGGATGCAGATTGGTCGCTGAGGGATTTGGACCCTAAAGGAGCTCCACAGCATTATCCATCAATGCAACTGCAACAAGAGCAACTGAGGTCAATGAAGACCAGCCTGAAGTATACCACCAGTCGATATGCGGAAGTATTTTCTGGCCTCCTGAATGCCAAAGTTGCAATGGAGGTGGCTGGGCCACCGGGGAATGTGTCATTCCTGCGGGGCGAGGCAACAGTGAAAGCTGGAGTTCCTTTCAATGCCCTGGGGAGACTCTGGCAAGGCCACCTTTCCATGGGCTGCGGCTTGCTGTTGCCAGCAGCCAGAAGTTGCCTACAGGATCGGTTCCATCTGGGTGGTGCTTCCGGCACTTCCTCACTGAAAGGCTTCAAAGAGCGGGGAGCAGAGCCACGAGAGCTCTGCGCGCAAAGGACCTTGGAGCTTAAGGAATCCGATCGACACCAAGATGCTCAGGGAGGTGAAGCAATGGCCTCTCTCTTTACAGCAGTGTCCACTCCATGCCACTTCTTGCGCTTAGAAGGTGCTCAACTTTTGGGTTTCCTGGGCTTCGGCGTTTTGCAGCGGTCCTTGCATTCCCGAGGAGAAATCGTTCGAGTGTCTGCCGGCTGTGGCATCACTCTGCCGTTGGGGCCGGGGAGTTTGGAACTCACCTTTGCGCAGCCGTTGCGGAGCGGTGCAGCAGATGTGTTGCAGAGGTGGCAACTTGGCCTCAGGCTTCATATCGAGGATTAAAGTATGATTAAAGTGGGAGCTTGGAAGACTCTTGGAAGATTGGCCATGATTTCCATGCCAAGACCCAGGAACAAGTTGCGAACCGCTTGCTGAAAAGGGCACATCGATGAGACTCACGGTCGCCTGTGAAAACATGGTCACTTAATTCTGGAGTCGGCTTCCCCAATCAGCTAGACTACACCTGTCCCAGGAAGCAGGAGGATGTACTAGCTATAGTCTGGGCATGGCCCTACAAGTACATTGGCAAATCCTTCAATGAACAACAATAAGATC